GTCAGATGAGTACGACCGTTTGTTCTTTATCTGGGTGTAATAGTATATTTGGCCGGGTGACGGCAATAAGCTTTCAGATTATTACATGAGTGTGACTAACATTATAATGTGGGCGTTTCAATACGCGTCTGTCTGTAAATAAAGACATGAATGTACTGCACGGATGGCGTAGTGGTTTAAGCGGTCGCCACACCGCTTACTACTACGCTAAGTGCTGTGGGTCCGATCCCCACATAGGACTACACTTTGTGCTATCCACAAATTGTTATTCTGAGTCTGGGTGTTCTTTGTGTCCGGTTCAGGTATGTTTGTAAAATCCCCTCCGACACAGGATATATTTATTCCTAATGCGCGAGTTGTCTTTTAAAAAAGAAACAAATGTATCTGTGCGTGTCATACATACACACACACACACACACACACACACACACACACACACACACACACACACACACACACACACACACACACACACACACACACACACACACACACACACACACACACACACTCATTTACTCTTGTCTCTATTTGTATATATATGTTTTATGTATGTAATACGTTATAATTACTATCGCGATTATTTCCAATTTACATGGTGAATAATCAATAATCAAATACTAAAAGCAATTACTTAACTGTCACCTACATGTTATATGAAAGTTTTGGAAGCAAGTTCTGGTATTCATAAGTTTTACATTCAAGGATTAATATTCTACACAAAGACGCTAAAGGCCGTAAAGTTAGAACTAATGAATTTTAAGTTATGTTTTCTACGATACTTTATATTATATTCATTTAGATTAAAGTATTCATCTATGGGTCTGTAAACTATTTATTATTATTGTAATCCGACTCACGTCTTTTGGCACCTTAAATAAGTAAAATTTGCCCACTGACCATACCATTGACCATGTCAATTTCAAGCACTGCTGTACTCGAAAACGTTCTGTCCTCTAGATCGGCCACGTGAAATCATTTTGGAAAACAATTCTGAATTTGATATGATTAACAATTACCAACTTCTAAAACACTGCATCGGTGGTGCAGTGATAGCGTATGCGACTGCTGTGCTGAGGTGTCGGGTTCTACTCCCGGGTCGGACCAAATGTTTGTATGGTCTGCAAATATTTGTTTGGGTGTTTTCTATGTATGTATTTACAAAAAAAAGTATATAGGTATTCTATCAGTCAATCTAGCCTTCATTGTGCAAGCTCTGCTTAGTTTGAAACTAAATGGCGTTGTGTGTAATATTATTATAATAAAATAAATGCTGCAAAATCACAAGCGAGTCACAAGAGTGTCGTACCCTTACAGTCCCTGCCCCCAGAATCAAGGGAGGGTTTGATGAAAGAACTGCTTAATACCGGTTACTTACTTAAACTGCTTAGTACTCCGGTATATCCTGGCAATTTAGATCATTATTTTTTGATAAAGAACGAGACCTCTAAATACAAACATACAATCAATTTAGCACAGAAATATCTATGATTGTAACAAGAAAATCCCATTTAAAAAGTTAAGCCCACCGACTTCAAACAATACTAACAAAGAGCACTAAAAACCTAGCAGCATCGCGGTTGATTTGCTGTCATTTTTTGAGGAGTTCCGTTGTCTGTCTCCTCACCATCAGATCTATATGAAATTTAAATGGGACCTTTTCGGAATAAACCCCCTTCAGACAAAAACAATAATTTTGAAAATCCGTCTATATACGACGGAATAGTGTCAGAACATACATAAAAAACATATAAACATCCGAATTGATAACATTCTCCTTTTTGAAGTAGGTTAACAAATAGTAAACAGTAGTCGTAGTATTAACATTACACGTATAAACCAAATTGCCTCAAAATCCGTTAAGTAATGATAGCGACACTATCTATTTTAATTGACAAATATATCGGAACGAGCAAGTTTGGACGACAGCCAAGTGCACCGGATCGTGTTAAATGCGAATGGGATTTTACATTACCAAGACTTCAAACATATTATCTTATAGCGGTTCAATTCAGGAATTTATCCTGGGGGTTTAGCATCTTAAGATATAAGTAGCTTTAAAAAGATCTTGCTCTTTTAATATTTTTCATTTATTTTCCCCTAATGTTTGAATTGATTTCATTTAAGACCTGGCTCGCTTAGGTGTCGGGTTTTTTGCGAAAGTATTCTCTGTCGTATAGTTGAATGTTAATCATGAAAGGAAACATTTACCATTATTCAGGCTACAGTTTTTATTAAGGTTCGTTTATAGTTAAGTATTCTTGTTTCATTTCAGGACTGGTTATTAGGTATCACTAGAGTTGAGTGAAGAGTGCAACATAGTATTAGAAATTTATTTTAAGTGTTGCAAGTGCCAAAGAAAAATATTTGCAATTTCATTTAAAACTATTTTTAAAATATTCTTCTGTCATTGATGTGTGTTCCTGATGTGAAAAGTAGAAATCATTTGAATCAATTCTTTCAAAGGTAAACTTATTGTTTGAAAATCAACAATCTTTACTAACATAAAATAATATATCGCTTTCGAAGATAATTTTAAAATTATTATTTATTTTTCTTTCTGTCCAATGTATATACTGTATAACAAAAATAAAATATATGTATATTTTTAAAATAAGTATAGTATAAAAATCAATCAAAGCTCTTGTTGGCATTTTTGGTTGGCGTGAGAAACTTTAATGAAGATTATGCTGTGTAAAGTGATTTCTGCTCATAATTTCTTAAACATAAAGTAGTTACAACAAACACACGCAAACATTATAGGGCTTTGGCCTTTTAATTTCTGATATACCATGAGAACGCTGTAGAATGTTTACTTAACTACAAAACGAAAATTCCATAAATTAAATTCGACTCAGTGTGTGTAAGAATTCGAAACGTGTATGTCTAGTTATTATTTTCGTTTGGAAGTTTACATACATTTAGGGGTTTTTCGGGATGTGAACTGTTTTTTTTTATCTCTTCAACACAAAACAGTAGATTTGACTACATTCGGTGATCATGCCTAGCGGACTGTGGCTCAAAGGTTGATGTTGATACGTTTTATATATCCTCGTATTAATCGGCACGAGAACTTTTATTAGGCTCGCTGATAAGTAATTAGTAAGGTTGATCTTTGCAAGATGACACTGTGCTCTATTGGAGGTAAAATATGATCTTGTGGTAAAAATATTAACAACTCAATATAGAAGCTTGAAAACTCCTATCATTTTATTATTCTAGGTATCTAGCTTTCTCCTACTTCCTCATTAATTGATTTTTCCCTTCCATTAAAGTCATGCTACTCAATAATTCAATATCTGGATAAAAAACCTTATACCATAATACACATACCTTACAAAATATTTTTGATATGCGACAAGTAACAAGTAGAACTTCGGTTTTCGGGTCCTCAGTTTAGAAATTTATGTACATTCCTTACAACAATCTGTATTCTTAATCCGTTACAACACAGACACAGACTTTTCTAATTAAATAGAATCCTTAAATATTTTTTTGTCTCTCTTAAGACAGAGAAATGATATCCTATCATAAGTTTGACATTGACTTTATTTTAAGATTAATTTTTATCTCAAGAATTTTTTACAATATCTTTATAATTTACACTTTATTTTGATGTAAATGAATCAAGGTAGCAGCACTGTTTCCACTTACCTTAATCATAGACTATCTGTATCAATAAACTCAACGCAAAAGCCCACGACCCAACATTTTACTATTATGAAAACGTCAATTAATCAAGTAACGTCGCACTGGTACCCATCTCCATATTAATGAATGCAGCAGTGTCGTGGGAGCCAACGAGACTGAATAAACATCTGTGTCATTAAATATGGATCGAGATATCTTTACGAGTTTATATTAAAATGGTACTAGGTCTCAAAGGATGCTGCCTGAATGTTCTTAACGTTGTTCAGGTACGAAGAGTAAATGACATATACTGAGAGTCATATGATAACAATAGTTTGTGAGGAAGAAGTGAATTAAGACTAAGGAATTATACAGCAAATTTGGTTTTTCTTGGTGCTACCATAAATAATACATACTAGTAATCGCCTGCTAATCAAATTTCGGCTGCAATTCATTAAGTTTTGAACCGGTACGGGTTGTTTATTGATGAGTATGACTTGAATTGCCATGAAATAAATTATGTAAGTACGTGGCAGGACATTTACTGGAAAAGTGTTGCTTAATATAATCATTTTCGTGCAAATTGTAACAATTGTTCCAGAGCTTTATGTAGTTCAATATTTAGTTGGTATAATATATTTTACTCAAAATAAAATAAGCCAAATATTTCGTTTTATAGAATATTTAGTTGAAGGCGTTTTTTCCACTTTACACATTACATGGGTGTTTTTTCACTTAGGATACATTCTAATCAAGTAGTAACAATATTAATATGAACTATTCTGGTAGTAGTTTCTCACACTCTTCACACACACACACATACTCTTCAGGTCACAGTGCTAACCTTACCTAGCTGATTCGATTTAAAAAAGATATAAGCGCGTTACGTTGCAAATTTCACTAAACTCTTATTTTTGTCTTTGTTATTTTTTGTCATAACAAATAATTTGACTAAATGTTTATGGTCTAAAGATTGTTTGCTGTAATCATTAATTTGATTAAAGACCAAATGCCTTAATGACATTATCCTTGGTAATATTCTACCGAGTAAAAATTTGACCAAATGAAAATGTGCGTACTAAAATCATTACATTGGTATAAAAAATGTTGCTAAAAGTTATGTGGATATTGAAACTTTCGGAAAATAATTTTGGAAAAACGGCAGGATCCCATGATGAATTGTAACTTGAAACTCAAGGCCCTACTGAGAAATACAAGTCAATGCTAGGCTATTTTATTGCAGTCTCCTAAAAAGTGTTGTTAGTTCGTAAAACGCTGTGCATTTTTACAAACTAACTTAAAAAATGAAAATATATATTTTATGAGCAGACATTTATTTTCGTGAGTTTATATCAAAAACTAAACTATATTTAATTGTAATCAAAATCATATCTCTTTGGTATCATATGTCTATAAACTTGCATGGCTAAAGGTGCTGATTTGAGATCAATCTTCGTTGAGAGCTGTTTTGCTTTTACCGTTGTGGAGGACGGTTCAGTCATGGCTCCTTGTCGGCTTTTAGACATACTTTGTAAGTAAGACTCATAGAGACTCATTCTTGGCAAAACAGAGTTATCTTCGGCCGGTTCAAGAGGAACATTTATAGGGTCGAAAGGTAATGTTAGCATGAACTTGCTGGGGTCGTAAAATGGTGCGTCGCGTGGCTTTTCAGTCGCATTTGGCTGTTCCTTGGTTGTGGCAGTAGATTCCACGTGGGGTTCAGTTGTAGTTGTTGGTTCACTCTCCTCATCCCAAATAATGGAGGATAACCACGAGGAGAACGACGCGACTTTCGGGAAGGCGTGGGTTTTTGAGTAGAGAGCACAGGTATTGATGAAGGAGGCAACGGCTATCAATGTTTTGTTCTGGATCACTGCTCCTCCATTGTCCCTCTGTAAAATAAAATGAGATATAATATACATTACATTACACATAGTACATTAGATTGTGTAGACGGTAATGACTCTTTTATATATGTTGGTACAAAAACTTATAGACAAATTTATATAAAGTTATTAAATTTTGAGATGGGTTAAGTTATATAAATCGGTGCTTTTATGTATGTTGGGTAGAGATCACAATATTTTGCGTTTATATTTAAATACACAAGAAAAGATTTCCGGCTTTAAGAGTGGAATCATCAGAATAGATTACTACTACTCTAAATGAGACGTCTAAATTATATCGAATAATATTATGTCTCTTATTCCTACTAAACTTCTTTTTTATGTACTTTGCAGTAAACCAAAGGAAACAATATTAGTAAAAAGTTAGCATTGACTAATATTTTCTAAGTATAATTACTTAAATAAAGTCCTATTTATATGAATACATTAAAGTAATATATATTTTTTTGGAAATCAGAAAACAACTTTGTAAAAGAAATGTAAACAAAAGACTGAACTCTCAAGAAATATACAATCGTATCAAGTAATTTGAAAAAGTATTGCAAACTGAAACTCAAACTAGTCAATCAGGAATAACGAGCGATAAATTTCCTAAAGAGAAAGTCTAAATCACAGTTGAAATACCTACGCTATTCTTTACCCTTATATGTAGTGAGTCTGTTCCTTCGAGATATTGAGTGAAATATGAACTGTTTTAGTCAATGTGTCAATAATGCGATGTGATTAAATTGTTTTAAAAATTGGCTATTATATGTATCAATAGGAGAGTCTGAAGCAGTGATGTCGTCTATTAAATAAAGCTGTTTAAAAGTACTGTTTTCTCTAATGTTTTAATATGTATATATAGATAAATCAAGCTTCTAGTGGAATTGATTTGATTGACAGAAAATATGTATATTTGTAGTAGGTAATAAACAATTCTGATTCTTTTAATGTTAAAATGACATAATAATAGCATTACTTATGTGTTGTTATTTATTTTTTCGCAGCTTCACTCAACCTAATAGAGATTTCGGAAATTGTCTGACCGTTTAAATGTAAAAGTAAACTTCTTTGTTTGTAATACGAATACAGACTTTTTTTTATGATAGAGGGGGCAGACGAGCAGACGAGTCAGCTGATGGAAAGTGACTTAATTTACATTAACGGAAACGAAGTCACGGGCAAAAGCTAGCTAAAGTTAAGTAATTAAGTTTCAATAATTATTTTCTTCTTGTTCTTATCTACTTATTTAAACAACTAAGTTGTTAAATTACTAGAGCACCTAAGGTTATTGTTTATCTTTCTCTCTTATAAATTCTAAGTACTTCTCAATTCGTAAGCCTAACACTTTCAGTACTTCCTAACAAATCAACAAAATTCAGAACTCTATTTTTACCTTTAAAACTTTAAACTTCGCAAATCCTATAATTTGACCTGGGTACCGTAATTTATCTTCAACACGTCTCGTTTCTATTCTTGAGTAAATTACACCAGTAATTATATCATTGGATTAAATGGAGAAATTAGGCGAATACAATTAGGAGGGAAATCTTTTCCCGTCGTTACTACTTTAGGACCACTAATTGTCATTTCGTAGCAGGTATTCATTTGTATGTTGATGCCCTGCTTACGATTCTCTGTTGAAGTATTTCGGAGGGCTAAGGATTTAGAATTAAAGGGATAAAAAATAGTATTTTTCTACTCTATAAGAATTTAGTAGAAAGTCATATAATTAACTTCTATTTGATGTAAAATGACCTAAAAGAACAGCTCGATATCTTCTTAATTCGTGAGAGTACATAATTTGTACGAAATTTTTAGTTTCGATTATAAATATTAGCGGATGGCGTATTGTGATAATAAATACAATATCAAACCATATATCATCACTCTTTTATAAATTATTAAATGTTTAATATTTATCGTAAAATATTGTTAAACTGGACTATTTTATGAACTAGGTTAGAGAGTGACTTTGTTTGATATATTTTCACGCCTTGTCTACTTAACCGTTCATCATATAACTTTTTATACACAGAACAGAAAATTATTGAACAAAAAATTACCTTGTATCTAGAAGAAAAGGTCTGATCCTGAACGATACAAATAACTTTTACGAAAACGAAGCCGCGCGCAAAAATAATGATTTATGAAATGTGTAATAGAAATCCATTTGAAATAAAAAAATAGTACACATTGTAATTAAAATGTAGGATTGAGACAACGTATTAAACAGTGTTAAAAAGAAAGGATAAGTACAGGATAATATTATTAAAAATGGTTATCCATTATCATTTTGTACTTTTCTCGTCGGTTTCATTGAACCTTTTAAATGGAATTGCAACTTTATGATTCAACCATACTTAACTTAAATTTATGTTGTTACACTAACATATACGTCAAATTTTTACTCCCCTTTTTATACACTCAACACGCAAAGATATCGAATTTATACTGCTTTTAACAAATCACAAATCTATTTAAGGTCATTTACCTTTCACCAATGAACAACACGCAACCACGTTCGTATACAGACAACAATTGTTTCAGTACCTACATCATTAGAAGAAAATTATATAACATTCAACAAATTAGACCCCAATTGTTTACCCCAAGATGTTCAAGAAGTATTCATTTTGTTCAAGTACCTACTTGAAGGACGTGCCCTAGTTTTGGTTTTGCCTAATCGCTGTTCGATGTTTAGCCTGAACTGTTACCTCGAACAGGAAATTAAGTTTGATGATTTTGTTTTGAGATGGGATAAACTTCGACTTAAGTTGTTAATACTAATAAGGTGATTAAAAAGCGAAACACTAATTCTTTACTAGACGAAATGCAAAGTGGTTACATTATTTACCACTGTTTTCTCATTGGGGAGATTTGTATCCCTAATAATTGTATTAAAAGCTTTTCAAATATGTACGTTTTTAATATTCATATTTCATATTTGTGCACTAAAGATAATTTTTGCATGACTGGTCTAATGGCAATAGGTCTATTGTATTGAATAGTGGTCCTGACTAAAGATTTTAGGAGGATTTAGGATCAGACGGCCGGTATTTGAGACGAATTAAATTGTAATTTTTATCAACATGAAACAGACTGGTCTTACAGTATGTAGAAAATTACATATTGCACATAAGTTTAATACAAAGTAATATAGTAAATACATAAGGGATCACACAGGGGGTTGTTCATATGATTTGTTGAAAAAGTATAAACCTCTAAGATTTGCTAAACAATTTCTACTATAAAACGTATTTAATTCGCTACATTATTTTTATTGCTGGCAAAAACTGAGAATTATAAAATAATAAAACACATATTTATTTATTTTGCTGGCTCAATCGTACTGAATATTTAAGCAGCATTTTGGTTCTTACGAAGGAGTGAAATGCAATTTTGAAAAAATATGTGCAAGCGATAGAACATAATTTGTGTGACATAGATTTATTGCTTTAGAGTGTATAAAATAGCAGAGTATACTCGTATTAAACTTAAACATAATGTTTACTTACTCTACAAAAATGTCTGTTAGGATCTTGAACTCCTCCTAGGCAGACGTAATGTCCAGGCAACATTCTCGTGTTCCTTTCACAAATGGATGGGTCTATAACTGGAACATTTACTGCCCTCATATGCTGGAACATAATTTTTGTAAACATAAGCTTTCGATAATTACATAAATATTTTTGCAGTTTAATGAATAAGACTCATTATTACACGTACACATATGATTGATATTCATATTAAAGTCAAATGACCAGGGAACTGAACAAATACAGCAATAAAGATCAAATAAATTAGCTCATTCAATTTTTGACCAGCTGAATATGAATGTTAAACTGGAAAAAGAGTCCCAAAATATAGCAAGCAGGCTTCAGAAGGAAAGAAGTGCGGAATCGCCGTCCGAGGTTTAAACTGCCGCTTTCAAGTGGTCAGGAAATTCAGTGCATAACTTGAGCGTAACGGAAAAAATATTGGATTACTTGTTCTGTGGTGCATGGCACTCATTCTATGATAGTTAACTAATTTTATTACTAAAAAAAATAAGTATAAAATTGTGTCTTAATTCAATAGCCGTAAAGAATACCTCTATTTGTTCTTCTGGTTTCATAAAGGAGGATTCTATGCACATAAGTAGTTTCATCCGTATGTAGGTTTATGAGATTGTTCTGATACAAAATGTTAGTAAGCATTTTACGACACCCACGGGAAATTAGATTCTGTGTAAAATTATATTTTCCATAGAAGTGTTGTGTCCTAATGAAAGTGTTTTATCAAATTTTAGACTATTACTCATGGGAGAAAGTATGGAGATTGACCTACGACTGAGATTCTAATAAATATGTACCTTGCTGTGAATTGAATAAAATTTCAATGTACTATTCTATGGTTAAATTACTTAAAGCATATAGTTATATTTTGCTAAAGAGGTAAATCTATAAATAAGAGTAGGCGTCTATATTTAAATGGGCATTTCAATAACTTGTCCGATTTTTCGTTTAAGGAATTTTATTTTTTAATCAGCTTTTAAGTTATCAATAATTATTTTCTTTTTAACGGATCTTTTAGATGATTTAAAATGCTTTATAGATAATATTGCTTACCCCACTAGGCGTCCATGCAATGATAGAAGCCAAAAAACCCAGTGTAGGGTCTTCCTCGGAGCTGGGTAGCCTCACGTTCTGAATTTGAGAACTGTATTCTAATGGATTAATCAACTTGGCGATGGACACATGATGATCGAAGTTGTTTATGACCATTTTTATCTGGAAAAACATAATACTATAATTTTTGATTATACTGTTGGTATTGGATACACCTCAGTGGAATTTAGCCAGAACCATCAACGACGTGACAGCAAATGAAGCAGCAAATCGCACAGTCATATAGTTAGGTATAAAAATGAGTACAATAATATGGCGCAAGACCTTTTTCTTTAATTATTACCCACAAGTGAAAAATTAGCCGACCTATTCGTATTACTGAGTCGGACCAGTTTTTCCCGAGAGGAAATGAGATAGCAAGAGGTAATTCTAATTCACCCGTTTTAATATGTTCGGAAAAGATTGAAGTATGAATATATCAGTAGTTTTTAAGATCACGAATATGCGTGAAGCGTGAATCCAAGTAATATTGTTTTTGGATATTTTCAATACAACATTTTCATAAAAACCGTGACGTAGCATTGTTTTTATCATTCAATTCTTATAAACAACACAGTAAATGTAACGTTTACAATTTTAGGGTGGCCATTTACTGGACATGGCAATGAGAGTGATACTAATATAAGGAGTTAACATAGCCTAAAATATTTTAGTGATAAAATGTAGCAAAGTTTTTTATTGACAGATTCCTACTTTATTCCGTAAAATAACTTCTAAAAACAGTGAAAAATCTGAATTGAGGATAGGAACAAGTAACACTCTACAACAAATGTGGCGATATGAGAAACTTGACAACAGATTCATAGTATTAATGCAACGAAAAAACTTAAACCTCTCTTGTTATCTCTGTCGCAATTAGATACTGATACTTGATTATATATATGTTAGTAGAACATTTGAAATGGCTCTTTGTCATTTCTCGTTTACATTTCGGCATATAGAACTGGGGAACACATGGGACAACATCCACAAATCCATAAATTGTGCTTATTCTTCGTGTCCGTTTCATATGTTATATTGAGGGGGACCCTTAATACAGAATATGTTTCTAGTGCGGGAGTTGTCTTTTTATAGAAATTGAATTTAAACGGTGGGTATACAGCAATACCGATTCAAACGCTTTGGTCAATTTATTTCTCGATCGGTCGGTCAGTCGGTCAGTTCTCAATTTAAATACATTATGAAATAGTTCACTGCGAGTGAGTTAGAGTTGAATTTGGAATCAGAGGGCTCTTTGACCTAGGAGTAGTAATTATTTTTTAACATCCGACACGAAAGTGTGTGTCGCCATAGCTCTTTGCTGGATGAACCGATTTTTGCGGCGGCTGTACTCGTATAAGGACACTTGATCGACTGACTGGTGAAGAAATTTTAGTCTCGGGAGTATTTTGAATTTTAAATTTATAGATACAACTGAACATTAGTGCCAACAAATTCAAAATGACAGATCGATCGATTATAAAATATAAAACCTACTGCTAGCAAGTAGTTTTAGGGCTTATGGATAAACGGTGTTATGGGTACAAAAAAGTTCTAAAGTACCTTCCACCCAGGAAAGAAATACATTTCCCGAGTTGACAGTAACGCTAGCGTTTCATAAAAAATACTACATAAAATAAAAACAAAATCGAACCACGATACCAGTTGGCTACCGTTATCCATAAACACATGACACACTAGTATCGTAGTGTCATTGGCACTTTGCCAATTGCTACCTAGGGAAATCTGGCGGCCATAGTCACCAACACAATACAACACTATGCAGATGAAGAACAAAAATACTACAATATCTATTATAGTTGTGGCATTTCATATGTATGGACACAAATACACATACTACAACCGTAAACTAAGCGTACATACATAGTGGTTTCCCTAACAAAAAAAAGTTAATTTAACTTTTTACAACACATATTACAAAGTTAAATGTAATGAAACAAGGAACGAGGTACCTTGGGAGTTAAGTCAGGAGAATAGCTTTATGAGGAAAAACAGCCGTTTTTAGTAAAGTTTAATAATAACATAATCTTCTGTAAAGTTTTCAGTGCACATTGTAATTTTGGTTAACAGGAAGCCTCCATAATATTGCCGTGTATATTAATCTTAAATTACAAACAGGTTAATACATTTTTAGGGTTCCAAATTATTAATTAATTATTATGTATGTGTTTAATATGGTGTAATGCATTTTAACACAGTTAAATTTTTTACTAAATCCGATTTAAACATAAGTCCCAATATAAAAGTTATTCGAGAAAACAACTCGACGTTTATATCCCCCATCGACCTCCATTTGAGGTAACATGGAGATGACGCTAACCGACCCATTACATGACAGTATATTCTTTGTTTCCCCTTTTGTACACCTACATTACCCCACGGTATCCCTGCATTACCCATCAATGTCTGTCGTAAAGATTTTATGTACGCTCCAAGTAAAAGTTCCCTGACACCAACATTTGGTTAGTTTATTTCGAAATTTTAAGCGTTTATGGATGATTGTGAATGTGTTATATTGTTGATCTAAAAGACAAAAGCAAAATTCGTGATTTTGATATCAAGAGATAATAGAAAATCTAACTTATGTTATAACTGCGAATAAGAGTTTGGACTCTCTGTCATGCTTTTAGGCCTTAACTATATACGCGATCATCATGGACATTTGTATTCTTATTAAAGAGACCGCTGAACGGGACCGGGAGAGGGCGTGAAATAACATTGTCCGGGTCCTCCGTAGAGTAGGGCGCCTGAGACTGGCCCTCGGAGGGGTTTTTAGTTTAAACATCACTTATTCCTTCTGCGTCCCCGTTTTGCCGGAGATCTGACGGGATTTTCCACCCATGAATAAAAAAAGGGGGTATAGAAAAAAACAAAAAGGAAACACAATACTAATTGCAATTGCAATCTTTAGACGGGCATCCGACGTAATAAATTTACGTTAAGCATGTAAAGCAACAGGCTTTCAGTCTGTCTATTTCTTCGTTACTTTTTTTTTTATTATCAACTCAGATTTTCAATCAGTCACATGTTACTACAGATAGAATATTGATTACTTTTTATAATGAAATAAGCTGTTGTGGTGGTCTGCTAATAGTGCATTTACATTTCTCGAATTTACTGGGAATCATAGACGAAGATGCGACTGTGATCTCCAAGATATTGCTGACATTCCCTGATATGTCTGTCCTAGCCTTTGCCTTCCATTGCGTTCACTTCTCGTCACATTATCTATCGTCACACTATCTTTGTATAATCAACCCGTTCTTTTGATTATATCTTCAGTTTCCCCATTTGTATTCCATTATTCCTAAAGTTGCCAGTTGGCAGTGATAGTCTTGCCCCTGTTGTCTAAGTGGTACCAAATTATAGTTCGATAAACGTAGGTGTTTGATACGTCTCTGGCTAGCCTTTCGGGGCTACAGATGTAGATATGAAGGTAATTACAATGTATGAATCAAAATGAAACTACCTTATGCAGGCTTCCTCCCTTATGATTGAATGAGCTGCCACCGCGTATTGTGTAGTTGCCCAAGTTTTTGTGTGCGACATACGATGATAAAATGTCACTGTAAACAAAATAAAACTGAATTAAGAATCATAACTTTTTTAAATACTTGTATGGAAGTATTATGTGATTTAATAACATTATGATATAGTTGGTTTATATCACTACATTCACAGTGTAGCAAGCGCGACATCCACTACCCATAAAACTGTTGGCACTTTATTCATGAATATACAGTAGTATATACAACATAGTATGTGGTGGTTGTATGTGACCGTAATCTTCTGAAGGTTTACTGTATCCTCTAAATTCAATTTACACTTCTAAGAGTACACTGTAAAATTTTCAGTTAAAAGTGAAATATAACATCAAGGTTTTATTTAAATCTGGTAAATTAGAACAAACAGTATTCCTAATAGGATAAAGTGCCAAACTTCGAGTTGGAATATTATTTTCAAAGCACAATGGAATCAACCTTAAGTATATCGAAAACATTAATAAAATAATTCTCGATATCAGGTCAAAAGGTCTTTTCGACGTTCAAAATCTTTTTTACTCGACCAATAATGACTTTAATTATTGGTTGAGCATTCAACTCACTGAACAATGTCCAACCATAAATATATATATATATATATATATAGGCAATAATAAGCCTTAAACTTGTTTTAATACTTGATAATTAAAAAATAATTGAACAGTACCGTTTGATAATGTTTGATCGTTTAATATAGGCAGTTTTTTTAGTTCGAGGGGTCGAGGAGAGTTCTAGTTATAAGTTAGATTCGTGTTATTAAACACGAAAGATTTCTAGTAATTGTTATTATTTCACACATTGCATACGTGGCAGTCTGATCTCAAACTAGACAGAGCCAGTACTATGGTAACCAAACCGCTGATAGTGTCTTTACTTATATAATTCTAAATATACACACGTTATGAATAAATTACACCCGGAATATACCAAATGATCGTGCTGCAATTATTTATCCTGAGGGGAAGTCGAACCAACGACCTCCGCCTTGGCAGTCGGTGTCACTACCCAGAGGACTAACAGGCCGGTAAAATTTACAGATTTTATCACAGATATGTGGATACCGATACTGGACTGATAATAATTAGTGATTAACACGGTAATACCTAATTACCGTGTTAATCACATTATCAGTCCAGACACTGGTTTCCTTAATTGTATTTTTGTTTAAAAGATAACTTAAATATTTATCTACATATATCACGTTTATTAGTAGACTGTTGCTAGTATCAGTAACAATCAATTTCTTTTCTCTATTCCCCAAAAGATATAACACAATACCTACTTTAGACCAATTATTCCCGAGCTCACAAAATTGACTCGTAACTATTGTGTACAAAATTATAGGCAAGTTCGCCATAAATAACACCTCCATTATTGCCACGGCCATTAAGCGTTTACCTTTCCATAGAGGATGAAGGTATCGTTTTCTCTTGTTGTGACTTGATTATAAATCGTGACTATTTTCGTGTGGCGTGATTTATTTAGCGCTATAAGGTTTATTTTTCTTTTTTTAAGTTATGTTTATTTTAGTTTGATTAAGATAACGACAATAGTATTACATGTCACTAGCTGACACGTACATCTTCGTCCTGTGTCTCTCAAAAAGATTGCCCCTGTTTTTCAAAATATTGTTCATAGATGCTCCGCTCCTATTGGTCGTAGCGTGATGGTAAATAGCTTGTGACATTCCTTGATAAATGGGCTATCCAACACTAAGCGAGTTTTTCACTTCAAACCAGTGGTTCCTGAGATTAGCGCGTTAAATTAACTTAAATAAACAAACAAAACGAATAACTGTTATAAATTCTGTAAATTTTACAGGCCTTTTAGTCCTCTGGGTAGTGACTCTGACTGCCAAGGCACAGGTCCTGGGTTCGACTTCCACTCAGGATAAATAATTGTGGGAGGAACATGATCCAATAAACTTTTTATCATCATTATCCCATCAAAATCCTTTAACAGTCCATTGCTGGACATAGGCCGCTCCCTACAATGGAGGTAAACTTTTCAGCTTTATAGTATTAGCATACCTAGATATTAGATATCGTTATCTAGTAGATATTTATCCTCAGATGTATGTACATAAATATTTTCATTTGGCGGGTACCGAATCAGAACATGAACTTTTAACGAGCCAATCAGTAACTATACTTGTTTGATGACTGTATCAAGCAACTATAGTTACTGATTGGCCTTATTATATTTAATAAATTACTTTGAACGAATATTATAACTTCTTATTCCTTGGCTAGCTAATAAATAAATAACTTACTTAGGGATCCGTCCCACAAAGGAAAATGGATCCTTATAGGATCACTTCGTTGCCCGTTTATCTGTTTACCTATTTAATTTATCTATCTGCCAATCTACGAATAGTATAGCTTATAAAAGTGTTTAGGTACCAGTTTGAAATTAATACCTTTTTAAACGAAATCTTCGATATGCGAGTCATTTAATATTTTTTAATGATAAATATTAAAAAATTACAATAAATATTCTATAACAGTTATTGTTATAATAACTTAATAATGCTACTTTTAGGAATGCGGCTTAAAAACTAAAAATGTATTAATGTCGTCAACGTTCTGCATACTATATTCAAGCAAAAAGATAACAAAATATGATCTACGGAAATTTAAAACAAGAAACTATACCAATTTAAATGTATAACAAGGAACATCACAACTCGTGTTGAAATTTTATATTTCAGCACTTCTTCTATGCTCATATACTTTAAGTACCTATTGCAAATTAAAACATAAAACATCTTTTCACAGTGATTGGCCTTACAGTCTTGTAAAATAACACACATCCACATCTTTGAAGAAAATCTTAACTTGTAGGCGATGTATGGGTTTCGTAGTAGAACTAGCGTAGAGTTTTATTTCTGTGGCCTATTACTTTCACTAATATTCTGAACAATTAAAATTGTTCGTTTTCACTCGTTTGATTTGTAGCTTACCCACCCGATAAAGACCGACCGATGAGACTGTAAATCGGAAATAAACTGACACAAACCAAAAGCGTTCCATACTACTTCCATAACGAGTAGAGAGTTCTATACTGAATCAATGATACGATGATATGTATTCTTCTTTGATATCCTGCTATATGTTTGGGAAAATATAAATTTTATTTCTTCAAGAAGGATGCAGTCATAAATAACTGTATGCCTGGTAGCTAGTGATCGATACCGACCTAAAACAGGCAAACCAGACGGTCTAAATCTGTTTTGCCATGTCTTCGTGGTTGCAGTGGTATCAGGCGTTCGAAGCGACCGATATGTTTATTTGTCTCAGAACCTAATATTTGCAAACTCACTTTTTTATAAAATATTAAGCATATCAATATGTTATTAAAAAAATATATACGAAAAATATTTCTACAACAACTGAAAATGCTTAGAGCTTAAAGTTTTGTAACAATTTCTACACAATATACCGTTAAATACTAATACAGCAATAAATTTAATAGATTCGCGTTTCATTATATGTAATGATTACCAACGAAGTAATCCGCCTGTGACCACGGCCAGTGGTCGAAACATCTGGCAAAGGTATGTAATACCTATTAATCACCTTAATCCCCGTTCGTTAGTAATAATTATATAAAAACAATACTGTAATCCGTTTTTTTTTTCAATTACAATAAGGGAGATTGTCAAATCAGTTGTATTTTATTTTATGTTTGTTACCTTAGAATTCCGTCATTTAAATTCGAAGGCTCCATTCAAATTCGAAGAAAAAAATCCACCTCTAGAAGTAATTAAGGAATTAAAAGGTTTTTTACAAATAATCATTATCCGCATCGCAGTCGGTGTCTTTTTGTTCAATGTTGTGTTTTGTGTTACTTTTGTTAATAATTTATATTTCTATAATTAAAAGCATAGAAGCCATCGACTCCTTTCAGATTTAGTAGGTGAGTGGAACCACCATTCGAATTTGGAGAAAAAATGCTATCAATTAAATACTAGCAATATATAGTGGGGAAAACAGGGTGGAAAATAATACTAATTTATAGGAATGTAAAATTATGAATTGAAGAACACACTTTATTAAGATTTATTATGATGACGGCTCATTGAAATTGGTCACACTTTATAGTAAGTTAATTATTTATTATTGATCTTGATATTATTGAAAACGGTGGAGTAGTTGTAATTGGATATTGTGTCGTTACACAATACCAAATTACAACAAGGCAATATTGATTCTGTACACAACACATTTGCCAATACACAAGATTTGTTCCTTCGAAAGCTCTTGTGGCTTGTAAGGCCATTATTGTCAGGCTTCGCAGACAATTTCCTGGTTTATTATAAGACGTAAATCTTTTAAGGAGCTGGCGCTAAAATGACTACTGGGTAAGAGCATAGACGTAATGATACTAAAGTTCAGGTTAATATCATTGTATGTAGTTTTATTTTTTTAACTTTTAAGAAAGTTTTATAGAAGTATGCTGTCATGTTATATACGGACTTTATTCGAGTTAACATCTTAAACTGAGACCTATTTCCTAGCTTTTTATGGATTTAGCGTGCGGTGCCGGGTCCATCGCGTGATAGATGGCGGCAACACATGCGACTACGACAGTGCCTGGAAATTGCCACCAAGGAGTTGTTTTAGGGAGTACTCCTTGCGACGCTTAAGCGCTCACCTCACCTGCCTGCTGTGGTACTCCCTCTACCTAACCATATTTCATAAAAGCCAAGCAATGCCGCTATGGATATTCGTTAAAGAAAAGAGCTTACTGAAGCTCTGTGCAATCCAAGGTCTTTGAGCAGGTTATAGAGGGATTTAGCTGGTGTACCCCTCGCATCTATTCTACGGCATACAACGCAACGAGATAACCATTCTTAGTTATTTCGTTGGTTAAGTCAAAGTGCTTGTTTTTTTTAAAGCGTGGTGTTTAGGGATGTTCGTTTCTACTAGTACAACACGCTTAATTGAAATTGCATAAATAAATATGTCTGGTCTGGACGCATGGCGACGTAAATAATGACCATGGTCTAATAGCGCCTTACAACCTGTCAGTAAGTGCCTGGCTGTACCTATTTCCGAACTGCACATCGTACAAGCCCTTTCTGTAGCTTTTACCAACCTCACCTGCTTTGATCGGGAAAAGGTAATTGAAAGTACGAGTATGTATATTTTTAGATCTACTTAGTTTATAAATATTTTTGTTTGAAAAGTCAGTTCTAATATTCTATTATATTTATTTACAACAAATATATTGGAGTATATTTTATTTTAAACATAGAACCCACGTATAAGATGGGCTTAGTTTCTGAATTTAATACGTACAAAAAAATTATCTTAACTCTTCTTAAATCTTCTTTATGACGAATATAATCAAAAGATTATATTCGTCATAAAGAAATGTTTCATAGTTTTCTTTGTCAACTTTAGGACGCCAGACTAGGGTCTTATTGATTATTTTGTTTGTTTTTTTATTTATTCTGCAATAACCAATAGATTTGTCCTTATTTGTATTGTTTTTGTTACATCCGCTGTATCCACTGCTTATTCGGTGTATGTTCTTAATTTAGTTACTAGTTATTTCACTACACTAAAGTTTATAACTAAAGTATTAGTATTTAGTTTCGAGTGGTTTTTATTAGGCCACCCGTATGTTGTTATGGGCTGTATTCAGCGCCTATAGACGTGTACATAATGTACCACGTAGTAGTAGTTAGTTAAGGAAATTATGCTATAATCCCAATACTAACCAATTTATAAGAAGTTCCTTTCGAGACAAATAGAACATTTGGGTATGTGCCGGATAAAAATCAAGACACACATGGTCGTCTAAATCAAAATAAGGCGGTGCCTGTCTTATGGTAATCAGACTGCTAATCAGAATACTAATAATATTACAAAATGATCTGCCCCCTCCATCATACAAAAAAAAATAAAAAAAAAAATTACATTCAGACATAGAACAAGTGATAGTGCTCATCACATAGTTATTTGTCCTGGGTGGGAATTGAACCCACGACTTCTTGCTTGGCAGACAGAATCGCTAATTACTAGACCAACAAGCAAGTCACTGATTTAATTAAATTCTTAGATCCCTCGGCTTTAGTATGTATTTTCTTTATTTGAACTAAAAAAATCTAACATACAATTACCACATATAAAATTAGAAAAAGGCAAAATATTCGTAAACATTCTATTTCCACGCGAAAGCAATTGAAAAGGTAAATCGGTTCGCAATGCGTAACTTAACAATTTCTGCAAATACACCCATCTCGCTTACTCCTGTTGCTAATAAACGTGCAAAAGCAAGACAGCACTACTAAGTAGTCTATTGGCTGTATTTACAATGCTGAAGGATTCGTAATCTCAGCTTAATTTTACGTAAATATTATCGTCTACTTGAGAATTAACAGGTCAGATAAACGTGGTAATGGCCTTGTTTGTAATGGCCATGTTTTGGCTCCCTTTGAATTAATAGGATTAGGGAATATTGGCTTGACACAATATAAGGCATTTTACCAAATTTTACCCGTATTGGTCTATAGGGAATATTAATGCCTATTTCTAGAAGTGATAATCAGTTTAAAGCACCTAATAGAAAATAATAATATTTTCGAACATCTGACACACAACGTAATCTTCTTTTAAACTAAGCAGACCTTGTACTATGAAAGCTAGATTGAGTGATAGAATTTACACTTTATACTTTTTTTGTACATACATACATATTAAACATGGAAAACACCCAAACTCTGAAACAAATATTTGCAGATCATACAAACATTTGGTCCGGCCCGAGAATGGAACCTAAGACCTCAGCACAGCAGTCGCATAGGCTACCACTGCACCACCGAGGCAGTTAAATGATGACAGCAATTCTTTCGTTGCATTTAATGGATGAGTGAATTTACTGAAAATCCAAGCCCCCCTCAACCTTATTCTTAGTTGGATGGAGGGGACAAAAAAGGAGCGGCAATGCACTTGTCTCTTATGTGGTGCAGGTGTCCCATCAAGTACTCCGTATATTCATTTGTCTCCGTAATTTGTAGGCACATATTATAAATAGTTTAGGAATCGAGTCTCGCAGTTTTTTACGAGCTTTTCCCAAAATTCAGTTTCCAAAACCTATAATTAATTGAGTTTTATAAGTGTCATTGTACCACGATGATTTATTACGTACTTTAAATAAAGCCTATATTTTTTATGATTTATTATTATTATTATATTAGTTTTTTTTCTATACATAGAGCATAGCAACACACGCACGGCTGACCGTGTTGCTCTATGACTTGTAGTATAAGATGATGTTATTTGCGAAATTCCATAGTTCTTTATCAACGGGAAGTAAATTTTAATTCCCTTGAAAGTGTCGAAATATTCGTTATTTGCGGTATAAACGGTCGTATCTTTTTTCCGTTAACTTAGAAGTTTGATTTTTCACAGCTTTAATGTACCGTAGACCTGAGTATATCGTTTAAATTTCAACTCGATACCTCTCGAGATAAAGAATCTTGACAGACAGACTTACAGATAGACGGACAACGCAGTGATCTTGTAAGGGTTCCGTTTTTTTTTCTTTTATGGAACAGAACCCTAGCAAGATAAGTTCATATTCGATTCATTATACGAGTAGTAGTTAGTATTATACCCAAAGCGAGTAATTAGGAGATTATTTAGAAACGTCTGTAATTACTTCATTACTTCTATTCATAAAGCAATAATTTGAGCCTAGTTGCTAATTTGGGTTCGTAAACGGCTAACGTAATTACTCTTTATACAGACACAAAATAACCAATTAGAAAATGTTTTAAACAGCATCTTTAGGAATAAACTATTTCTGTTAAAGCCAAAGCTAATATAAACGAGAAGAACTATGAAACAGTAATCCATCATGGAAACGCAGTTTCCCGTTACGGAAATAATTTCAGTTTGTCATCCTTAAACATTCTCATAAATATGTCGTTTTCACAATGAAAACAAAATGTTTGAAATTTATGGAAAGCGTTGGGAAAACAACGTCTTTCTGATTATACAAACCAGACAGTAAAACTGAGATTATTTAGAGTATTACAATATCCGTATAAACTTTGTTTGTTATGACGTTTACTCAAGATATAAAGATATATGGATATGAAACAAAATCTCCTCACGTTTTCAACTACGAGTATACATACAGCCGCGCTCCATTCTTTTGTAATACAAAAGCATCATCAAAAAGTTAATGTACTAGGCTCACATAAAGTTCAAGATTGCAATACTTACGATGTTATGTTATCGAAGCACTTGGACAAAACTAAGACCCAGTAGCTGTTCAATATAATGGCACTGCAGATGTAGGAGTTATTTAGTAACAGGGAAACAGAATACGGGTGTTGATAGACTTGAGTGACCATGGCTCCTATGTGCTCCAGACTCTCGTCCAAGTCGTCATCTGAAATATAATATAATTACTGTTTAGACATTAAAGGTCTTACATCTCATCTCGGTGACGCTAAAATTTCGTTAAGTATCGAATAAAAATATCAAATCGTTTTAAAAGTCCGCATTAACAAAAATTACGGTTGTAAGTACTCGTATATAATGTTATGCAACTGTATACTTTCTCGACTTAAAAAAGGGGGAGTTTCTCATTTGGATGTCTGTTTTTTTATACTTGTTACCTGTTTGTTTCCAAAAAAAATCCAGATTTTTTGTTTGGTAACACAAATTTGATGAAAAAAAATCCACCCCTGAGGGTGACAATTAACGAACTCACTATTATGCAGGCGCACTGAAGACAATGATTTAAAAAGTTAATTACTTCTTAAATCTTTATCTATATGAAGCTCAAGTATTAGAGCAATCCATTTTTTTTTCAGATTTTGTTTTACTTAGTAAAAATTCATATTGATTTTCCGAACTGTTTTACGAACAGAATTATTTATGTTAATCGCAATGAAAATAAAGTGTGGTACGAACAGACGTAAGATTTATATTGATTGCATGTCATGGTCATATATACCTCATTTTATACGGGAAACAACATTTCCCTATTGTCATCAAAATGTAGCAATAAATAATAAAGTTCTTGTTTCTAACAAAAGGAAAGACTGATGTAGTAACTTAGTAAGTTCTTCCAATAGAGAACCGAACTTTTATTTACAACTAAGTTACTAAATAAACAGTACACATATGGCCCGGTTTTACCGGAGTGATAGCCTTTTTTTTTTTTTTTTTTTTTTTTTTTTAACGTGTGGAAATCCCCTCGGACCGTCACCCCTCCGGGGTTTGCGGCGGGGTGGTGTGTCGGACTCGGACCGACTAAAACCACACGGTGTGCCACTCTGCGCCTGTAACAGGAGGGATCCGGGAACAGCTGTTGTTAAGACATCCGGACCCCTCCTAGCGCCAGCCCGCTCCTGGTGCGGGCTCCGTCTCAATATATTTTCCTCTCTTTAGGCGACGTCCGGCACACGCGGACGCCGCCCCCTCGCGGCTGGCCAACTAATGCGGGTGGAGGGGAAACCCACCCCGTCCACCCGCGGCCACACTCAGGGCGGCATGAGGCTGTGGTAGGCGGGCCTCCGCCGCCCGGTTCGCCGGCGGCGGATCGGGTCCGAGTGGAGGTCGTCCTCCCGGGCCCTCTCCGCCGCCTCCTTCCGCGAGATTACTACCTCGCAGAAGGATGCGACCGCGGTAAAACAACTGTCGCTACCGGCCATGGAGCGTACTACGGCCGGTAGCGAGAGATCCACTCCGATGACTGCAGTGAGGGCCCGGCGCTGCGCCGCCCATGCGGGGCAGACCGCCAGCGTGTGCTGGGCCGAGTCCTCACTGCAGTCGCAGTGGTGGCAGGCGGGACTCAGTTCCCTCCTAGCGACCGTGTGCAGGTACTTTCCGAAGCAACCATGCCCGGAAAGCACCTGCGTCAGCCGGAAGGAAAGGGTCCCGTGCTGCCGCCCTGCCCACTCGGCGATGACCGGCTGGAGAGCCTCCACGGCGGCGAAGCCAGCGCGTGGAGTCTCCAGCCGGAACGACCAACGAGCCATCGTGGCTCGGCGAGCGGCTTCGCGCCACTCGCGCACATCCTCGGGCGGAGGGCGAAATCCGCTCTCCGCCCGGTAGTCAGCCACTCGCCGATAAACTTCGGCGAGCACTTCCGCCTCCAAATCCCACGGGGGAGTTCCGGCCAACGCGCACGCCACCTCCGTAGAAACGGTGCGGTAACCGCGTATGGCTCTGACCGCCATTACCCTCTGAGGGCGCCAGAGGCGTACCCTATTCTGGGCGGTCAGAGCCGCCGCCCACACCGGTGCACCGTACAGCGCCATTGACCGGACAACCCCCGTGTACAGCCGTCTTGTCGCGACGCTGGGTCCACCCATATTGGGCAAGAGTCGCCCTAGGGCAGACGCAGCGCCGACCAGCTTTGGAGCAAGCTGTCGGAAGTGCTCGTCGAAGAGCCACCTCCCGTCGAGGATCAGGCCCAGATATTTCATCTGGGCCCGAACCGGTACGAGGACCGAGTTGACCACTATTGAGGCGCCAGGGGGTGGACCACGACGGGGCCCATGAAATAATAGGGCCTCCGTCTTATCCAGGGCCACCCGTAAGCCCAGCGCCTCAATGCGCCCGACCACCAGGGAGACTCCCCCTGTGGCCAGGCGCGCCGCCTCTTGGAAGTTTGCCCCCCGGGCTGTCACGAGGGTATCGTCTGCGTAACAGATTACACCCAGCCCGGGGGGGAAATCGGCGCGAAGGGCCCAGTCGTACCCTATGTTCCACAAGAGGGGTCCAAGAACAGACCCCTGTGGAACACCGCACGACATGGGCCGACTCCTCAAATTACCTTCTCGGTCCTCGTACACGACGGTACGCTCCTCTAAATAGTCTGCCACCAGCCGCCTCAGGTACTTTGGCACCCCATGATAGTGGAGTGCTTCCCTGATGCAGCTGAATGGCAGACTATTGAATGCGTTGGCGATGTCCAATGACACCGCCAACAGCACGCCGCCACAGCTCACGGCCTCTTCGGTCACGGCCCTCAGGCGCAACACGGCGTCGACTGTCGAACGCCCCGCCCGAAAACCAAATTGGGCGTCCGACAGATCGGGGCCCACCTCGCAGAGGTGCCGGACGATGCGGGCAGAAAGAACCCTCTCAAACAATTTGCCCGCCTCGTCCAGCAGCACGATGGGCCTATAGGCCGCGACCGAATCGGCAGGCCGTCCCGGCTTCGTCAGTAGGACCAGCTTCCCGCTCTTCCAGCACTCAGGGAAGCGTCCCGACGCCAAGCTAGCGTCGAACACCTCCCCGAGGCGGTCTGCCATGTGGTTGAGGGCCAGGGCCAGCACTCGGGCCGGTACCCCGTCTGGCCCAGGGGCGGTGTTCTTGGAACGGATCCGTAGAACAGCCGCCCCTACCTCCGATTCCCGGACGGGCGGAACATTGTCCTCCCCGTGCTCCCCGTCGTCTCCGGCCAGGGAGACCATCGACGGGGGAGTGTGTTCCGCCCGTTGTGGGAAAAGGCCCTCAACCACTTCTCGCAGGAAGCTGGGCTGGAGAGTCTCCGTAAGGGGGGGGCCCGACGCGCGGAGCTTTTGTCGCACCGCGCGGTAAGGGCGACCCCAGGGGTCACGATTAAGACCCTCCAGCATCTCCTGTCTTTTTTCCTCTTTGGCGCGGCTAATGGCCAGCTTCAGAGTTTTCCGCGCCCGTCGGTACTCCTCATGAAGCCGGTCCTCCTCACCGTCTCCACGGTGACGCCGCCGACTGCGCGTGTAGGACCTCCGGGCACGTGTACAGGCCGCACGGAGGTCCGCCAGCTCCTGGGACCACCAGTAGACCTCCTTCCTTGGAGGCCGACGACCTCGAACGCGGGGCATGGCCGCATCGCATACATGCGTAATCGCATCGCGAAAGCGGCCAGCCCCCACGTCGACCTCCTCGGTCGGAGCCTGAGGAGACAGCCACGAGTGAATTATGGCTGCCTCCTCTAGTAGGTCCCGGTTCAGCCTGGCAACAGCCCACCGCGGAAAGCGGGATAAACGCCGCGCCACGTGACCCCTACTGGAGTCCTGGGTCCGGCAGAGCTCAAATCGGATATACAGGTGATCCGAGAGCGTCTCAACCTCTTCCAGGACACACCAGTTCCTTACTCGTGCGGCGAGGACAGGGGTAGCGAACGAAAGGTCCACTATCGACCCCCCCTGCTGTCGCACGCACGTGTTGGTGGAGCCTCTGTTTAGAAGACAGAGGCCCACCGAGGCCGCCCACTCCTCTACGGCCTCGCCCCTGGCGTCCGTCCTGGGGGAACCCCACGCAATGGACTTTGCGTTGAAGTCCCCCAGCACAAGGACGTGCCCAGACGCTAGTCGCCGTATCGAGGTCTCCAAGCTGGTTAGGAAAACCTCGAAGTCGTTCAAACTCCGGTTGGGGGAGAAATAGACACCATATATGGTGATCCCCCCCCACTCGACGGCAACATATCCAGTGCCCTTGTCTCTTAGCGACAAGGGCGGGGAATGAGCCGTCGTGGAACCGACGACTGCCACGGAGCCGTCCCAGTCACCCATCCAGTTTGGACGGGGAGGGACAGAATAGGGCTCCGCGACTACGGCAACACCTATCGACCACTGTGCCATGGTTTGCAGGAAGAGATCCTGCGCCGCGGCACAGTGGTTCAGGTTCGTCTGGACCAGGAGGTTGGAGACTTGATCCATTACTGGATCGTCTCTACAACCTCCTCCATGGGCGACGACGTCGACGCACGAACTACATCGGAGGCAGCCTGGGTCGACTGGCTAACCCCCGACGTCTGCCGAGAACTGCGGGGAGGCTTGCAGCCTCTCTGCCCCATCTGGTGATTGGCGGGCTTATTGCCCGCCGCACACGCTGGGCAGTGAGGGGCGGCAGAGCATTCTGCCGCCTTATGCCCCGGTTGACCGCAGCGGAAACACAGTCCGCCGCAGTCAAAACAACTGTCACACTTGACGCGCGTGTGTCCCGCGGCCAGGCATTTGAAACACCTCATCGGTCTCGCCGCCAGGACTGTGATCCTGGCGCTCACGAAACCGATGAGCAGCCTGCCGGCGTCGGCCAATACTTTGGCCGACGCTACGGGACAGCTGACCCACACGGCGCCAAGCCCTCCTGGACCGGGGCGGATGGTGCCGACCCTGACGTTGTCCGCGCTGCACCCCGTCTTCTCCCGGATTACAGCGCGGACATCTTCGGCCGTCACTGAGTCGTCCAGGCCCGAGATGCGCAGTTCCGCGCACTTGGTAGGCCTGGCGACCCTGACACCATCTGTGGCTGCAAATATTCCCCGCAGCTTCTCAGCGAAGGAGTCCGCCGTCTTTGCGCCTTCGGCCCCAGGGAACTCGAGAACTCGAGCTCCCGTCTGGGCGAGGCGCATCCTGACCCCCACCGTCCCAAACTCGTTGGCGAGGC